GTACGGAAGACTCGTTTGGCACAGAGCATCATCAACTACTGCGTGATCGTGTACATGGATGACATCCTAGTATATTCGAGTTCCTATGAGGGACACGTGCAGCACATCGAATGGGCAATGCATGCGTTACGAGATGCAGGTTTCAAGGTGGCGCTTGAGAAGTGTCAGTTTTTCCTCACCACCATTTCTTTCTTGGAGCACGTGGTGAGAGACAAGGGACTCCAACCGGAGCCGTAGAAGGTGGCAGCTGTCAGGGACGCGCCTGTGCCTACCACTATCACGCAAGTTCGCGCCTTTCTGGGCCTAGCCTCGTATTACCGAAGATTCATCAAGGGCTTCGCGGCGATTGCGAGACCCCTCACAAACCTCCTGCGCAAGGATCAGCCGTTGATCTGGACATCGGAGTGCGATCAAGCGTTTTCCAAACTCAAGGCTGCTCTCATTTCGGCCCCGGTCCTTATAAGACCGGATCCCGAAAAGCCTTTTGTTCTCATCACTGACTGGCAGCCAGAGGCGATTTCGGCGATCCTTTCCCAGGTGGGACCAAGCGGACTCGAGAGTGTGGTGGAGTATGCGTCCAAATCTGTACCTGCCTGCAAACGCAACTACGCCGCTCCGATAGGAGAATGCTATGCGGCTCTATGGGGAATCAGTCACTTTCGTGCTTACCTGTATGGGCGAAAGTTCACCCTGGTGACTGATCATGAGCCCCTGTTGGCTCTGAAGAAGTCGAAGGATTACTCGGGCATGATCGCGCGATGGGCAACGGTGCTGCAGAGCATGGACTTTGACATCCGTCATTGGAAGCACGAGAGACACGGGAACGCGGACGGATTGAGACGGTTACATAGGCCTGAGAAAGTTCTGAAAAGTGAGGAGGTGATTCCGTGGAACGAACCCGAGCAGAAGATTGGACCTCGATACGGCCAAGTGGAGATTTTGTTGAAGCAGTAAGTGACACGAGGACTAATTTGCCTGCCCTACTCTCTCCACAATTCAGTTCTGTCTCTTCCCCTCTGTCATCATGACTACCCCGCCGGCCTTCACAACCCCTTCTTCTCCTACTAATTCTGCCCCTCTTACTTCCTCAGCTTTCTTTGCCACCCTCCCCGATAAATTTTGTTATTTTTGCACGTGCATTGCACGAGTTTACGGGGTCGACTGTCATCCCTTCGAAACTGGGTTTGTCGATTGGGTAGAATGTGCCACGTGTGTCAATCGTGCGCACGGGGCCTGTGTACAATATCGAAGAAATAGCAAGGAATGGAAGTGCCCCCAATGTAGAACGAGCAAGCTCCCCACGGAGGTTCGATTCGAGGCCGCCCGTACGGACGACCCTGAATACGACGAAAAATACCGACGAGTGGAGGTTTGGACAGATAAAATTTTATTGGCGAAATTAGCAGGGCTATCATTGGGTCACCTCACCAAACACGACAGACGTAGGGCAACCGAGAGATCTCGGGACTATCGATGGATCAACGGTCATTTGGAAAAGCGTAAAACTGACGGATCGGGTTCGTGGTTGGCGGTTCCTCATCCATTCCAGAGATATGATTGGATCCGATCTGCTCACAAGGAACAGGCCGCTCATTTCGCGATACGTATCATGGAGGCAACTGTAGGCCAGAATCGATGGTTTTGGTCCAATAAACGAGATGATGTCAAATACATTGTCGCTAACTGTCTGGTCTGTGCCGTTGATCGCGCCCCCATACGGGGACCAAACACGATCGTACCAACGGAAGTAGAGCGCCCTTTCCAGTGAGTTAGTATGGACACGACCAATATTGACGTACCACCTGGCCCAAACCCCTGCGGATATTTTATTTTATTAGTATTAATTGACCACTTTTCCAAATACATCGAAGTCTATCCCTGTAAGACCCGAAAAGCCGCAAAAATAGCCACGTACATCGAACGGTTCCTCTATACCCATCTAGATACGGAAGAAATTCTAACCGATAATGGATCTGAATTTAAAGGTGAGGTAGAAGAACTACTTGCGCGAAGGGGCGTCACGCTCCGACATACGGCACCCCACGTGTCCCAATCGAACGGGTTGGCCGAGAATGCTAACCATATGATTAAAACCGCCCTTCGCAGGAACTTAGCGGCACACGACATGCGTCCTTGGCCCGAAATCGTATATCAGATCGTCGGGATCCACTGGGCCACCCCTCTCGAGTCTACGGGGTTCCACCCCTTTCAGCTTCGAACTAATAGCCTCCCCTGTATCGATTACATGGGTAACTCAGAAATTGTCGAAGCAGGGGGAAGAGACACGCGTGCGGCCCTCAAAGCCAAGGCCAAGAGGTACGTCGACTTAATGGAACGGGCCGTTCCGAAGCTAGCCCGGAAAAGGCAAAGGATGACCGAATTGGCCCAAGGTAGACAGGTGCGCAGCTACGAGGCTCGAAACGGGAATGCTGGGCCCCAGTACCAATATAAATTGGGGGACCTAGTGCAGGTACGTAAAGGTGCACGCGACCGGAAACTCGCTCCCAAGTTCTCTGGCTGTTTTCACGTTGTCGAACTCGGACCCAACGACGCCAACACGGTGTGCATAGCACCAGAGGCTAGTGCCAGCCATAGCTCTGTCCCCATCGTCCGACATACCTCCTACCTCCGTTTCCTTCCTCCTTCCGATCTTCCTCCCCCCTCTTCTTCGGAAAGCGAAGAAAACGACGACGATCTAACCCTCTCTCCTCTTTCTCCCTCTTGTCCCTCGTCCTCCTCTCCGACCTCGCCATGAGTTTTATCACGGAGCGGGTTCTTGATGCACAACTGCGACAGCCACGTGGCCACATCTCGGAGATCCGGCAAGGTTTTCATCCTCGGCTTAATACGGATCTCCGCCGTTTGATGTGATTCTTCTGCGACGAAGGCATCTGTGCCGTCGCCGCGTTTCGGATAGAAGGAAGCCCTCACGCGCTAGTGTTCGCGGAGGTTACTGCAGTTCATCGGCGAGTGGGTCCCAGAACGAGCCACGTCACCACAGCGGCGGGATTCACCGGTGACATCAGCTTGGTCAACCCGCAGAGGCATACTGCGATCTTGGCCTCGCTGCGCGAGTGGACGGAGCAAGTGTCCAACGTGTGGCAGCACGTCCTCGCTCGAGAAGGATATAACATCATTCCGATCTCTGCATCGGACCTTGACGGCATTCGCCGAGCACTGCGTGAGCGGCCAGTTGTGATTCCAACCCTCGTCCCCTTCCTCCATCCCCAATGAACCACGCCAATCTTCTCGCTCCTCTCTCTCAACGGAAAAATTTCCCATAATTTAATAATCATTCTATAGTGAAATTACATTCTAAATTTTACATTTTTATTCCATCTTAAAAAATGTCATTCCAATTTTTAAATTTTCCGTCTTACTTGAAACTTTCCTTCCAAGAATGGGGTATCCCTTCTTATTTGAACTGCATGCTAGAGATGGAATGAAATGTGGACGAGTTCATGAAATATTTTAATTGGACTGACATTCTAAGTAAGGATTTTCAGTCATAAATATGTTAATCCAATCTAAATTAGAAGATATTCCTTGTAGTAGAATGAAAGTTTAATTAAAATATTTCATAAACTCGTCCAGACTTTCATTCCATCTTGAACAAATAGATGTAGTTGGAAGGGAAAGCTCATATTTAGACGGAAACTTATCAAATAAAACTGAAAATTTAAGAATTTGACAAACATTGGAATGATAATTTATAAATATGAAGGATTTTTTTTTATGGAATATTTTTTCAACTTTCATTTCTCGTGGGAATTTTTCTGTTGCTATCTTTGGTCTTCCCTCTTTCTTCCCCACCTTCTAGCAATCCGATATTCACCCTTCTCTCTCCTTCTCATTCGAACCTCTTTCAGTCCCTCTTATCCATCCCGGACATTGGCGACTGTGGCGCGAGACTTTTGAGGAGTTGTCCTTCTGCCTGACCCGAGTACAAGTGAAGTGGACAGGCACTATCGAGCACCCCACGTGGATCGAGAATCCGGAGCTGCTGATCGTACAGGGTTGGAGGACTAACGGAGAAGGAGATCTTATTGGGTTCCTCTTTGGATCGGTACAACCGGGTCGTCGTCGGTTGATTGCACAGGAGCTCATCGCACCGATCGTGCAATTGGCTGACGATCTCTCGCCCGACATCTACTTTCAGAGTGACAACAGTCCTGCTCCGTACATTTTCGAGCGATCCTTGGATCCGTACCTTCAGTGGACTTCGTGCTTTGAGGAACTTAGGGACGAGGATACGCTACCATCGCGGCAGGAGTATCTGAAGCCGTACGAGGTCATCCCTTACGCCTTCTACCCGAGGGCAGAAGAAGTGGTGATCAACGACGACGAAGAAGAAGACAACGACGAGGACGTTGGAGGAGGGAAGCCATAGTGAACGTAGCGAGGGCGAGCCGAGTGAGGAGGAAGAGAAAGAAGAAGGAACCGGGTCCGAGAGGGAAGCCCCGCCGGAAGAAGCGACGCGTGCGGGAACAGAGGCGGAAGATTTGGAAGCGACGTGAAAACGCGAAGAAATTGTCGCTGGGAAGTGCCAACTGGAGTTCGCCAGCGAGACTAACCTGCGCATCGGTAGCAATCCGACCAGGGATCCAGAGCCGCCGAGACCCGGAGATGGCGGCCCTGCAGCCGCCACCCCAAGTACCACGCGAAGGAGACGGCGCCGATCCCCCTCCTCCTCCAGCCCCACCCGTCCCCCAGTTCGCCCACGTACCAATGCGGACAATAGCCCTTCGTCCTCGGACGTTGTCCCGCCGACCTCTTGATTTCCTCAGCCTCGAGCAGATCCGTACCCCCGTCACCTTCCCTTCCCATCCTTTCCATCCCCATCTCTTCTGCGACTTCTACTCTACCCGTCTACTCGTCACCATCCACCCCCACGCCCCCCTTCAGTCCGCTGCTCCCACATTCTGCTGGCATCTCCTGCTGTTCAGCGCTGCATGGGAGCAAAGCAACGTCGTAAAAGTCTATTGCGTTGCCACGGGGACGATCCCCGCTTGCCGCCACTTCGAGATCTTTCGAGCGGCTCTGTTCCGCACCCTCTTCTCCTTCTATCGCGATTACCTCGCTTCCCTCCCCCGCAGTGGCGATCACTTCCCCCGCTTTCATCGAATCATCCGATATGAGGAGCTTCCGGTGACAATGGAAGGGATGAATCGCTTCCTACCCTCACTCCCTCCCCATCATCCCCATCACAAACGCGCGGATGTATGAATTGAAATTCCCTCACGAGAATGGACATCGACAATCCATTTTGGATTACCGATCATGAGTGTCTTAGGGACCGCGAATACCGGAGGTACTGGGAAAACGAGCACCTCACTCATTGATCGAGATTGAGACTTCATATATTTCCATGCCAAACTGAGAACGGTCGTTGTATGCATGGGACTTCCGACAGGCCATAGGACAAAATCCTGAAATCCCGGATTACCCCAACATGCGTAACCACTAGGCTTACGTGGAACCAGGATTCATCGCCATCGAAACCAGTTTTCCTCCCTTCTATCTCCTTCTTCCCTACCACAATCTAACGGTCGTCCCCTGGAATGTGATAGTTCTCTTCTGGTCCCGAAGGTCGTGCTTTGAGTGTTAGTAGTATTACATCTATCGGGCCGCGGGGTTTGTGCGACGAACCCATTCCGAAGCTGAGCACTGAGAACACGGCCTCCAACTAAGGCCGTCCACGTCAGATGCCGAAGTCTGTGAGACCCGCAGACAACAGGTGTTGTAACAAAAGACACCCACTTCCATCCGTCGGTGCACAAAATACTAACCTTCCGACTCTAGGAAACGTAGATCAGAAAAAATGGTCCCTCGTTCCACTTGCACTTATGTCCTTGAAACTTGACACTGGAGATCTCAGTTTCAACTTGGGACTCCACCCCACTCTCCTAAAATCATTGGCACACCCTTTTTACGCACTTTCGGGTCCGCTCCCACTCCGAAACAGGAAGTCGTGTTGGCGTGAGGTGGGCGTCACAAGGCTCGTTAGTGACGCAAGTTTTCAGACTTCAAATGATGATGCAAAGCACAATACAAAGAAATTCAGCGGTCTGCTTGGTAAGGTATGGTCACACTAGCAGTTTTCTGAATGCATCTTACTGCAATTACGGCAAGGCCAGGATGAATCTGACCGCAATGACGTCCAGAGCTTCGTGGAAGAAGCCCTCCTGTGAGTATGCCCACAGTTGGTAAGTCCAGAGCTTCATGGAACAAACACTCATGTGAGTATGGCAGGCAAGTGGCATTCAGGAGGTCTTGGGCTCAATCTCCATTGTGTGATGAGATCATATTACAATCATCAACTAACAACAGTCATGAGAATCCAGTAAGCAACAATACTTGAATTACAGAGTAGTCGAATAGTTTAAATTTACACCACTTCAGACTCACACTATGTACCCAAAAACACATTTTCTTAGCTGTTTTTTTCCTTTCTTTTTTTTCCCCTTAAAATAAAATTTTTATTAGGGCCCAGTGCGGCCCCTGAATCTGGAGTTCTTTCCATGCTGTGTAAAAGCACATTTTCTTACCAAATTGGGATGCCTAATGTGGGAAGATAGTGGCGAGGCCTGTCACACTGCTTCCCTAGATCGCAAACGACAAGGTTGCGACAACCTAGAGTTTAGGTCTTCTTCGAGTATTGCAGTCACACAACAAGACCGCATTTCCAACCTATGTTTTTCTGTTATTTTTTTTTCTTCTTTGTTAGGGCCACCACCTCGCCCTTTACCAATTATTTAGTCGCAAAAATTATTAGCTTCGCTTTGTCTTTCATTTTGCAACGCTCATTGGAAAAAAACGCCAAGAGCCCAAAAATCTCAATGATCGAATGCCTTCGGCAGGATGTGATAAGATAACCACAAGGACCATTCATTGTAAGGATGAGGACACTATGTTTCAAAAACTCGTGAAAATCGCTCATCATCGCAAACATAGAAGACATAGTTGCGGCTATCGTGGTACTAGCCATCATGTAGAGGGAGGGACATGAACGGGGGGTGGGGGGGGTGGGGGGGGGAAGGGGCGGAAGGGAGAAGTGGGGAAATAGATCGAGCGCCCTCTTTTATACATCTTTCTATGTCTCCCTCTCTATTTACACAGATATATACATACACACAGACACACACATAGGGAGAGGGAAAGGGGAAGTTGGGAAAAAAGTCGTGCACCCTCAGCCATGCATCTCTCTCTCTCTCTCTCTCTCTCTCTCTCTCTCTCTCTCTCTCTCTCTCTCTCTCT